TATGGTTCACATTCCACTATAAACTAACTGTGGGTCCCTTAGTTGCCATTGGCTGTATTAATAATTAAGTTAACAGCTGTCTATGGAACATGTCAGCCTTAGTAAGTAACAAGACTACAAGATCGTGCCACTCATCTTACACTCATCTCAATTCATACTTATATCTATGTACCTTCGTATGGTCGCTATTTAAAATAAAAGTATAAAATAGTATAATTTGACACATGTGTTATAACATTCACACCGTCACTTGTGGGGTTCTCCAGGGATCTGTCCTCGCACCTATGATGTTTCTGATTTATATCAATGAACTGCCTTCAAGTATTGAGGCTGGAGAGATCTGTCTTTTTGTGGATGACACGTTTAGCTCTGTCTGGCTCAACTTCCGAGGAATTAGAATTATAATCTTTTATTGAAGCAAATAACGTAAAGCAGTGGTTTGACTCCAATTTAACATCCAATTTAAATCTCAACCCCAACAAAACTTAATTGCTCCGTTTTTCAATCCAAGGCAATCCACACACAACTATCCTTTTAGACAACTTCTTTTAGACAACGCTTCATGAGCTAAAATATAGCTAACTGTTAATGATGCAAATGCAAAGAGCAAAAAACTGACATATTTCTTATTGTGGAAATTGAGTCAACAGAAGGCGTCAAGTTCCTTGGTTTAATATTAGACAAACACCTTCGTTTTTATGACCATATCGACAGTGTGTGTACGAGGGTTGGTTCCGGCATCTTTCTTTTAAAACAATTGTCAAATTTTTCTGATCAGAACGTCCTTATGACCGCCTATTATGGGGTCATTTTCCCTCATTTAGTATACGCAGTGCCGGCATGGGGATGTGAGAATGGAAGGACCAGATTTCTATTTCGACTTCAAAAGAGAGCAATTCGAACCATCTTTAAAATCAGCTCACGAACTTCATGCAAATATTTTTTTCAGTCTTCAAATATTTTAACTTTTCCATGCATATACATCCTTGAAACACTCTCTTTTCTGAAAAAGAACATTTCCATTTTTTCAAGTTCCAGATCATGTCCATATTCTTTGCGAAACAGTTTTTTCAGATACCAAAACATTCAACCACCTTTTTCAAAAAACATCTTTATTATAACGGTATACTGCTTTTCAATGCATTGCCAACCCATCTAAAAATTGAGTCAAACCCTGTTTTTTTTTTTTTTTTTTTTTTTTTTTTTTTCACTTCGATTAATCACTAAAATTACTGGTGTCCAAGTGTTACTACCAAGTCCGTGATTTTATTGCTGATGGGTAGTCATGTGGGCATATGGTATGCTTGGTTCATGAATTGATTACATGTAAATATTGTTTATTTTAGTAGTTATTTTATAGTTTATGAGACAATCTGTATTTTTTTAAATGTATATTGACTTAGCCAATGCTAATGTAAATCTGGCCAAATAAATGACTTATAGGCCTACAATATGGTAACTTAGTTAGCATAAAAGAAAATCTTAAAATATATAGGCTAAAGATTTGACAACTAGAAATGTTATGAAATTATTAGGCAACTTACGGTACTTAAATAGATGTTGAACCTAATTTACCTTGCATGACCCATGTGAGATGCATCATAAACTGTGGGACCACAACTGTACCACATAACTTTACGTCCTTTCTGAGGTACAAACACTTCTTTCTGTCTGGTTAAACTATTGTACAGCTTAAGAACAGGTGGAGGTTCTGTGTCCCCAACGCTCCATGACGGTTGGGACCGTTTAGCCATTTTGTTTCTGAAAAATTTAATTTAGTTACTACTAGCAGGCTTTATAATATTTACTCAGTGTTAGTTTCATTGTTTCAACTATGTGTTCAATTGATATTTTAGTATGAAAAGTAACTAAATATTAAAGTAATAGGCCTATTCTTCTAACTTGCAATATATGTTTTGCACTAAGATAACATAGGTAGGCCTATTACAATAAGTTGTATTGAGATAAGGCATACGTATTACAATGTCATTTTAATACTAGGCCTACTTGTCAACTCAACGCATAAGACGGGTAGACTTCCGTATCTGTTGGCACAAACAACCGAATGAAAATATTGATCGATATACCGTTTGGTTATTAGGTAAGGTTAACCTAACATAACTAACTAAACAACAATCGAATAATCAATATTTTCTTTCGGTTGTTTGTGCCAACAGATACGGAAGTCTACCCCATTAGACTACCCACTGAGTGCCTAGTTGTTCAAATATAGTACGAATTGGAATATTTGTATAGATGTCTCAAGTTCCATGCAGTGCTAGGGCTTAATAATTAGAAATAAGCATAAGCCACAACATGTTTTGTCCGATTAGTGAACAACTGGTGACAATGAACTGTCCTTAACCAAGCTTTTTATCAGAAAAAATTAAATGTCAATCCTTCTACAAACCTTAATTTGCCTAATGAATTATTTAAATTGTGATTTGTCTTCGTTCGTCGTTATATTGAGGTTACTTTCAGTTTAAGGTTAGATTCAGTGACTCAGTAAGAGAGAGGAAGAAAACTGCACATTCGGCATTCGGCTGCAGAGTGCAGACGTTTACAATCTTGCAAAAAAATAAACAATTCAGCATACAGTTTACAGAGAAAAACTTAGTAGAGTTGCTAACTCGGATTGGTGGTTGTTTAAAAGCAGCACGTGGCAATGTGCCACGATTTGAGATTTTTATAAGAAATCGTTGAAAGCTCAGATTTATACTGCCCGCATTGATTATTATGTCTCTCTTACTATAACCAATAAGCTAAGTAATGTTCTTGTATACATTATTTCGGTTAATTATCTATAGATTTTTAATACTGAGATTCAACCGTAAAAATAATCTAATAAATTAATGAACAAAACAATACCGTACTTGGTACTATTACATTGTTATTGTTTATTGTTGCACAATAAGTGATGTAGCATTTTTGGGTTGCACTTTAGTTTACGTCCTACATTTACTCTTATATATTATCTACCAGCTGATTATAAAATGAAACTGTGTAAGTAAATGTAGGACGTAGACTAAAGTGCAGAGTGCAGCCCATTTTTAAGGGAAAGGGAGCACAGCACAAGCACATTGCACATTGCCGATAGACGGCAGGCTAGAGTTTGAAGTGCTCTATTCCTTCAATTACTAACTCATTATTATTCATTATTCATTAGCCTTCGTCGTTGACCCTCTGATGAGGGAATAGACTGCGTCGTTGTTTAATACGAAAAAAAGACACAAAAACAAAGACTACACGCACATATAAAATAAAACTTATTTAACATGGCGGGCAGGCAGTAGGCGGTACAAAAAATTAATTGTCCCGCTCCAAATTGTCCTTAAAGAATTCCTCTACTTTGTAGTATGGTCTATTGATCATCAAGTCTTTCACAGCACTCTTGAACTTCCGGTCATCCAGACATCGAATGCTGGAAGGGAGTCTGTTGAAGAACTTGATGGCTGACGTAGGGAAGGAATTGAGCGTCCTGCTCAATCTCGCACGGGAAACATGAACCTAAATACTTTTTAGATACGGTACATGAATACAGTTTACTCACTTATATAATTAGAACAAAAATTAGTGAGTACTGAGTATACATCTTATTTTTACGATGACGCTTCATGAGCTAAAATATAGCTAACTGTTAATGATGCAAATGCAAAGAGCAAAAAACTGACATATTTCTTATTGTTCTTCTCTCCTCTTGCTCTTGTGTTCTTGTCTCGGTCTCGCTGTCACGCCTGCGGATTGATCTCTCGTTCACGGTATCGTCGGTGATAACTTTAATGTATTGTAAAATAAATACCATTCTTAATTATTAATACCTTGTCAGAGTAGTTTTGTCCTACTAAGAAGAAAATAAAATGCTAGCCGTGTTCATTGATTTGTCACTGGAAGATCAGGTACATTTAGGCATATTGTGTACCATAAAGGTTTAGGTTATCATAATGTAACCTCAATAGTTACAAATTATTTCATTTAACTGAACAAAACCTAATCTTGCTGTGTTTCTGGTTAGGATTTTTAAACATACTTTAATAAGGCTTCAACACAGCAATCAAAACACAGGCTATAGGCTAGATATACGATGTTTACGATTTTGCCGCATTCGCGGGTGTCGATGATGATATCCCCGTAATTGTGGCCCACAGTAGACGTTTAAATGAAATACAATGAAAATCCTTCTTTATTGAGGCGAACTTAGGGCGTCGAGGTCTTTCCTTACAGTTAACCTCACATCTTACAGCTAACGACATTCACAAGTTTTTTACCATGATTGTGCGGAATTTCCACGACAGGGTTGGGGGCCGCTTGAGTAATTGGGCCTAGGGCTGCAGGTAACTTACCCTAAATCTGGCAGTGACTCTTAGTGAAATCATTATACAGTTGAACCTCGTTTGTAGGAACCTCGATAAAACGAATTCCTCGATAAGACAATTTTTTTAATCCCCTTGACACTTTCATATAGTTCAATGCTAAAAACAACTCTATACAACGTAGTAATTAAGCTAAAAACCTCCATAAGAGGAATTTGTTTGTGACATGGGCCAGGACTGATTAACCTCTATAGGCCCTACAATGAATATTCTTAGCACAAAACCTCTACAAGACGAACGTGACCTCTATGAGACAAATTTATCATAATCTTAACCTCCATAGTACATAGTTTTCAAAACAAATAGAAGCTTGTCTCAACATGGAACCCCCACCCATTCCTCCTCCTTCCTCAGTCATTGTTTGGAGAAACCTTGGAGCGAGGAGAATCCTCTATAAGAAGAATAACAACAGCATTAAACCTCGATAAAACAACCCTCTTTATTAAGAATACCTCTATAGTACGCATTTTTCCCGTACCCCTTGAAATTTGTCTTATAGAGGTTCAACTGTATATTGATTATTACATTACATTGAACAGATTCACTTTTTCTAAACTAGGCTGGGCTAACTTACAATAAGTTAATTTTAATAAATATCCTTATTTAGGGTCTAAAATTACCTGGGTTACCGGCCTCAGATAATCAAGAGTTTACTGTAGTAACTTATATTTGAATGGTTATTTCGTGTAGGGTATTTCTATATTAGGCTATATATTGTTACAGGCAGTGGAACTAAGGACTTTCTTTAAAAGCCTTGGTGCTGAAATTTCACAAGAAAAGTCTCCAAAAGGAATAGAGGATGACTTGCACAAGATAATTGGAGTGTGTGATGCTTGTTTTAAGGAAGGAAATGAAGCTGACATTGAAGGTGTTCTTAATGCTATAGTTTCCATGCTGGTTTTGGTAAGTAAAACCAACCCATACTTGGTAATTCATATAAGAGTCTTCATAAAAAACAAAAAAAAAAACAAATTCAAGCGTTTGGCAAATCTGACCTTGAGCGGTAGGCTAACTTACCTTTTATGCTATTTTTGAGGAACTGTAACTTACCTATCGCATTTGATTTTAAGTGGTTTCAGGTACTGGATCAGACTAGTGTTGATAGGTAGGTAGGTTGCAGAGGGAGGTGTTGCACTGAAAGTTACTGTGAAATCATGTTTAGTGTAGAATTTATAGCTTGACTTTTAAGTGTTGTTTTTTTTTTAATTGTTTTTCTAATCGTCAAGCTATTAAATTATTGTTGAATTCATAAATTGGTTTTATGAGCCATTAGTGCTCTAGAATAGTTAGGACTTCAATAAGTTCTTTAGAATGTAGCCTAATTAATTTTACTTTTTGAATTTTATACCCTCCGGTCTCTTTATTCTTACTCATGGACTATTTGTTTTAAAGACATTAAGGGAATTATCATGTGGAAAGTTAATGTACTGAACAGATTAGGTACGGTAAGTTTAGCTATGTTAGTTTGATGTAATTACTCTGAACATAAAATGTCTTTACATTCTTGCCATTTTTTTATAGATTCCTGTTGAAAGGGCTGAAAATTTGATTCTGGCTTTTAGTGAAAAGTTAACCAAAGCTCCTGGCCACAAACTTGGTCTGATAACTTTACGAGTGTAAGTAAAAATACTCTTGTTGACTGTATAGTAAGTGCTATCAGTGTATACAAATAACAATTCTACCGGTACTTCCACAACATTGTATGGTTAGTTACTCTTGAAATGAGAAAGGCTATTCTAACTTTTCCAGTTTGAAATGGTGATAAGTGATCTATTTGTTAAAATCAAATATTTCAATCTGCCTCTGATTTTAATACAGAAAATTTCACTTGTGAAGATTTCATTGTTAAAATTGACAAATAATCCTGTAGGCATGCAATACCTACCAAAAATAAGCGTTAAAATAACATTCCACACATAAATAACATAGTTCTAAAAAAATTAGATGTAGGCCTACTATTCAAGTGATGGTTACACTTATAAATGTTGTGTTTAAATTACATTTATTGCTCAGAGGTAAAGTCTTGGGTTGATAAGGGGGACTCGCTAGCTTGAGATAGGCTTTTGTGACTTAAACTTAAACCAAACAAAATCTGTAGATCACTACACTTATAGGCCTAAGTAGGTTTATAGTAAAATATACTAATAGCTTTGACTTTGGATATGATAGGCCTATAACTAGAACTACACATTCAATTCCCATTTGAATGTTTAAGATAAAAATGAACGTAGTTGCGTTGAACTGCCAACAGAGTGTGCTGATCAGTCACTGTTTCCGTTGTTGCCTAAATTATTCACCAACTTTTAAATCAATCCTAACTAAAAGATAACTACATTTATAATTAGGCCTATCTTTTAAATCATAAACATTCAATTGATCATTGAGTAGTAGAAGTATCAAGTAAGTAAGTAAGTAAGATGTGTCATCACAAAAGGGCATAGGGTGAACATAAAAGAAGTGAACAACTTTGAACAGCAATTTATCGAAAACTACGGGTTTGACATCGCTGCGGTTGGTACCAGTGAGTCGGAAAACACCGTAAGTTTTGTCTCAAACAGCTGATTGCTGTCAACAATACCAAACATGTGACAAAAGATGTTATTTATTGATTTGTCAGGGTGTCTACCTGTCACGGATGTCACCAAAGTCCCCGAAAAGTCACCGATTTTAGTAATGTGTCACCGATGTCCCCTATTGTCACGGAATTTGCTTAAATTGTCACCTAAATTTTTGTAGACCTACAGATTTTTATTTATTTTTGGGACAACACTAAATCTTTAGACGAAACTTATCTTGGATCAATAATATTATACTATCACGTACGATTCCAAATAAAATGATGGTGATGCAAACTGCTAAGTTAATACCATGTTATCATCCGAAAACTAGTCAGTTTAGTACTGTAGGTAGTCAGGCAACCGGCCAAAGTCTTGCCGACACAAAATTATTGTGCCAGTTCCAGTATCAAGACAAATAATTTTGCAATATCTCTTATGGAGTCAGGCAACCGGCCTGTGTTTTGTCCGCACGAAAATACCGTACAATAATGGTATTACCGTAGCTTACCAGTCTCGGATAGAGTCAGGCAACCAGCCTGTGTCTCACCGGCACGAAAATATCGTGCAAATAATGCTAACTTGCTACCGTAGCCGTAAGGTTGAGGTCAAATCCATGTACGTAAACTAGTTAAAATACCTCCAATAAAAAGACTGTTCAGACATTTTTTTTATAAAAAATACCTATATAAAAGAACACTTAAGTTACATCTGTGCATTAGTTTTACACGTTTACTGCGCTTTGAGATCCTGAGGTCTCGTATCGTACCTAGCCTGCTGTGCAGGACCCATAATTTGGCTTCTTTCCTTAAGTTACAACATCGATATTTTTTGCGTACAGTTATCGTAAAGAAATGAAACTTGTACATATATATATTGCATTTTTATTGATCTATCAACTAGTAAACATGAAATAAACAAGATAAATAGATCTCGTAACGCACTGAAGTAATAAACTTTTACTTTATTACGATACGAGACCTCTGGATCTCGAATCAAAAATAATTGTTCCATGCACCGCATGAGGCTAATCGGCTAATGAATGCTTGGAAGAATGAAGGAAACCGAAGAAATAATTCAAGAACGAAGAGAAAGAATACCGGTAATGGCTTTTTTATGTTGATATATTTATGAGCTATCTAATGTTTTATAGGTTTACATAATAATTGTTTTCAACAACACGAACATAAATTATTTTTAATTATTGACGTGTTTTCCTTCTTAAACAGCAGTAACGGATGCGTATAATAAAGATCATTGGTCAATGACCTAAAATATCAAGATTGTGCAATGTTGTATTTTTATGTAAAAAGCAAATCATGGCATTAATTCGAATATTTCTCCTATGGTTCCTACTAAATCAATAATAAATAATTGTCAAACCGAACAAGGAATTTCTGATAAACAACTTTGTATCATTGTTTTGGGATTGGAATCCCCTTCCCCAGCCCTTTAGGGAAGTGGTGCAAGTCTAAATATAGCTTCAAGGTTATTCACCCACCCCTTCCCCCCGCCCACTTTACTCACGGTAGCTCGCACTCATTTCGAGGTCATTGCCCAACCCCAGAATTATAACAAAATAAACTAAACACAGTAATTTGTAAACATATTTCATTTGTATTTTATTTAGCCTGAAATCAGCGATAAGGAAATGCTTCCTAAAAGATGAACACTTTATGAGTAGGAGCATAGATAAAACATGAGCGTGTTTTATCTATGGTAGGAGCTAATGATTATAATTTCCACCATTGATCAAAATCATGTTTATCATGTTTATTGTTTAACATTTATTTATTGTTCTCCTCACTCCCTTTACTTATACGTCTACGATCAATGATTGTTTTCTGGCGTTTTAAAATGAGTTCTATATTTAACATTAAGATCCTGAATTTATATTAGGCCTTGTTTGTGACTTAATATAATTTTTTTACTTCAACAGCAAATATAAAATTAACTCGCAGAAATTTACTTAGTTCTATGTCACTGATTTTTGTAGATAGGGCCCCCAAATGTCCCCGAAATGTCACTGATTTTTCAAATAACTTACTGGTAGACACCCTGTTTGTTTAAAAATGGTCAATACGCTCTCAGAAAAGTATTTTTGTGTGTTAGAATTGGAGAGAACTCAGTCTGCCACCAGTGTCCAACGCCGATTTCGGACACATTACCGTAAAGACCCTCCTAATAGGAACTCAATTTATGCATGGCATCGAAAGTTCAAGGCTACGGGTAGTGTGAGTAAAGGAAAGAGCCCTGGAAAACCAGGAACGTCCGTTGCTCAGATTGAATTACTCCGTGAAACTCTTGCTCTCACACCGAGGATATCAACGCGGAGGTTGGGTATGCAGCTTCAAATGCCGCAATCCACTGTTTGGAAGATCATGAAAAAAAAATATGAAGATGTTTCCATACAACCTGAAATTGTTGCAAAGTCTAAATGATGGCGACAAAGTGAAACGGTTTGATTTTTGAAGTGGTAGCCTATACAAGAAATGCAGGAAGAAGATGGTATCTATGAAAGACTAATTTTCAGTGTTGGGGAAGCTACTTTTAAAATGTAGCTAGCTACAACTACTGCTACATTTCCAAAAAAGTAGCTTAGCTACAGCTACAGCTACAGTTCCGAAAAAGTAGCTAGCTACAACTACAGCTACAATGAAATGTAGCTACAGCTACAATTTTAGCTACTTTCCCAAATACGTTACTTTTTATTCCATGCACATTAGGTAAATGTAAAATTAATTGCAACAACATTTTTATTGAACAAACATTTAAACAAGAAATGTCAGTATTGTATCTAACATTACTTGGAAAACAAATTATTCCTAGATTTTATTTAATTTGTTGGCATTATAAACCTAACATTAACAACACAGCATCAAATAGTTGGGTGTCCCATCATATTTAGTACTTATTTTGAAATATTGCATTATTTTTAAGCATCTTATATGTAAATTTCATTAAGTTTAAAGGACATAAACCAAACTATATTTTTAAAACTCATTTTATTTCTTTAATATAGATGTCTTATATCAACAATTAAGACCACTTAAACTGTAAAACGATTATTTAAAAATACTTTTTTGTGTTACAGAGCCTAGCCTATTGAAATTGGAGTTTATTGCCTTTCTTTACTTTTAATGTTAAAAACAACATTGCTATAACTTTTAACCATAGTGATAAGTTACTTGTTCTATGAATAACACTTTTTAATGTCAAGAAATCGTCCTTTATTGTCATTATGCATAGGGCAAATTGAGCTTCAACCTAGTTGGTACAGAAAACAGTATTCAGCAACTTATCCTGAAATCGGCTTTTAATTTAAACATGTTGAAATTTGTAAAGTAAAAATAACATGTAGGCCTATTTGGCTATGTAACAAGTTGGCTATAGTAGCTTTGTTCTTGTAAGGACTAAACAGATATATTCCTAATAATTGAACTTGGTATTCGTTTTAAACCATAGCATAGCCTAGGAATAGTCCAATACAAGAGCTGTTAGCAGGAGCAAACTATGCTATTTTTTTATTTAAGTTTCATGTTACATGGAGATTTTTTTGTTACAATTATCATTTAGTCTAGGCATATCTTAAATCCCATCAGGTAATTTCCTCTTTGTTAATTTAGTAAACCTTTGAAAAATCTTTGTAATCTAACCAAGGAAGGGCTTGTGACGATGAACCACGATCAACAGCTGAAGCAAAGGTTGATAGACCAGCTTTCTCATTATTTTAAGGTTTAGAGTTGGTTTCCATTAAAACCCTAGTTAAAACACTATCAATATAACAAAGAAACTGCATTGATTACTAGTTTCCCTGTCAATCACTTGCAAGCATTCAATAGCTTGTCTTGTCCTTGTCACTGGTACCGGTAAAGGTAACGTTTAAACGTCGTCTGCATCTAGCGATTTTATTTTATCTGACAGTAATCATAGAGTAGTAAATTAAGGAGATGAGAGCTAAAAATGTGGATAACACTCATTTAATGGCCTCCATGTCCACACAACGTTGTAATAGGGAATGAAACGGCTGCAACCAGCTGTATGAAGCCAAGAAAGTAGGC